GTGTCAACAGCCAGATTCACAAAGGGTCTCAGCACCCAGGAGGCCCCGGCACCATCCTGACACCCAGCTCCTTTAGGGCCCCAAGGGAGCAGAGATCTCAGGAGAATTCTGGGTGCTACCTAACCACAAGCAGAGATGCCTACACTGCAGCCAGCTGGTGCCCCTCACCCCACAGGCCCCAGGTAAGGACAGAACCGATGGCACTGACTCAGCCATGGAATCCAGGCCGCGTCTCTATAAATAACTGAACACCAACACAAAGCAATTTCTGTTCATTCAGTCAAGGGGATACAAGTGGGAGCTAATCACTGATGCCCAGAAATAGCTGCACAGGCCCCAGAGGCAGGGACCAGCATAATCCTGGGCATCTCCACCTGCCTTTGTAGCATTGTAGCCTGCCAGCCATGCCCCAGCCAGCAGACTGGCATGGGGATTGTCAGGGACCAAATGGAAGGTGCGGCACTGCCTGGGCTGCCAGGGGTGGCACAAAGACCCACTGCGCTGCAGGGGCAGTGCTCAGAAGGGATCCTGACTCCCCATCACTAACCCTACTTCAGGTAGCTGTGGGAGAAGCCCCTGCCTACCTATGGGCACTGTTCTACCCATGGCAAAGGGCACTGTCCTGTCAAGGGGGCTCACTTTCTAGTGATACCCTCCCAGGTAGCAGTAATGAGGGAGCTGCCGTGAGCCTTCTCCTCAAGGCCAGGGGCTGAGGGCACATACAGTTCCCTCTAATCAAGAGCCCCACTGGGCCCTCCCTATCCCATGGGGCATGAGGAACTTCCCTGCCTGCAGAAGTCCAGCACCCAGGGGCTGTCTGCCTCCAAACCCCCCTCTATGCCCCTCTCAGGTACATTTCTGCTGCCCCCAGCTTGCCCCAGGGGCCTGGCAGAGGGCCCAGGCCCTGTGCAGACACTGAACATAAAACAAATGCATCTCGCCCATGCAGAAACTTCCTCATTTTCACTTCTGCTGTGCTGGGTCAGGGTGCATAACCGTTTGGAAATCAGCACAGCACCAGCATTCAGCCCTGAGCCACCCACTCCTTCCTCTACCCTACACCCCTCCCTTTCCACTCCTGCCTTGATCTCAGTCCTGTCTCGGCAGTGCAGGAGAACCCCCAACCCAGCCTCCAAAAATGGCCTTGTGATGGGGAAGGAGAAACACCCATTCCCCAGTGTCCAGGGACCAGCTCCTGTCTAGCAGTAGCAGAGGGGAATGTAATGAATGGCCATACCTAACTCCTAGCAGATCCCAGCTGTCCCTCCTCCCCAAGACAGGCCAAACAATAGAAGAGAGGGAGCCGAAGGCTAATTGATGGGACAGAAGGGTGACCTACAGGCTAGAGCACTGGACTGGGCCCCATGAGATGTGGTCTCTTTCCAGTGCTGTTCAATATCTTAATCAACGACCTGGAAGACAGGATGGATTGCACCCTCAGAAAGTTCACAGATGACACCAAGCTGGGGGGAGTAGTAGATATACTGGAGGGTAAGGCTAGGATTCAGAGAAACTTCAACTAATTGGAGGATTGGACAAAAGAAGTCTCATGAGGTTTAATAAGGACAAGTTCAGGGTCCAGCACTTAGGACAGAACAAACCCATATACCCGTACAGGCTGGGGACTGACTGGCTACGCTACAGCTCTGCAGCAAAGGACCTGGGGGTTACAGTGGACAATAAGCTGAATATGATCCAACAGTGTGTCCTTGTTGCAAAGGCAGCTAATAACATACTGGGCTGTATTAGTAGAAGTGTTGCCAGCAGGGAAGTGATTCTTCCTCTCTATTCAGTACTGGTGAGGCCACATCTGGAGTACTGTGTCCAGCTTTGGGCCCTCCACTATAGAAAGGATGGGGACAAATTGGAGAGAAACCAGTGGAGGGCAATGAAAATGGTTTGGGGGCTGGGGCATATGACTTCTGAGGAGAGGCTCTTGGAACTGGACTTATGATCAAGGGCCACATGATCAAGGGCTTGGTGGATAGGCCTTATGAGGAGAAACTTCGGGATCTGGGTTTGTTCAGTCTGAGTAAAAGAAGGCTGAGGGGTGACTTGATAGATGCCTACAAATATGACAAGGGAGAACACCAGGATCTGGGAGAGCAACTTTTCAGAAAAGCACTCCCTGGGAGGATGGGGACCAATGAGCACAAGCTAGTCAGGGAAATGTTTAGGCTAGACATATGGAAAAATGTCTTTTCCGTATGGATGACCATAAACTGGAACACACTTCCAGCAGAGGTAGTGCAGCTGCCAACCCTGGCAGCATTCAAGAAGAGGCTGTACAAGCACCTCGTTGAGCTCAGTTGAGCCCCTTACCTCCTGCCCATGGCAGGGGACCGGACTTGAAGATCTTACAGGTCCCTTCTGGTCCTTCTTTCTATGATTCTGTGATTATTTAGTCTGGAGAAGAGAAGACTGAGGAGGGATTTAAAGATAGTTGAAGGGGGATCCGCCCTCAACTACCTGAAGGGCAGTTCCAGAGAGGATGGAGCTAAACTGTTCTCAGTGGTGGCAGATGCCAGAACATGAAGCAATGGTCTCAAGGTGCAGCAAGGAAGTTTATGTTAGATACTAAAAAAAGCTTTTTCACTAAGAGGATAGTAAAGCACTGGACCAGGTTACCCAGAGAGGTTGTGGGATCTCCAACCTTAGAAGTTTTTAAGACCCGGCTAGAAAAAGCCTTGGCTGGGATGATGCAGTTGGGGCTGGCCCTGCTTTGAGCAGGGGTTGGACTAGATGACCTCCTGATGTCCCTTCCAACCCTAATTTTCTAGGATTCTGTGATTCCCCATGCTGCCACGGCTCTACCATGAAGCTTCGAGCAAGCATGGGGTCTTGAGTGGGGAATGTCCAGTTCTCACTGTGCACATGCAGCTCCCAGCCCACCAGTGTCCAGGTCTAAGCTAGGGCTTACCACTGTTGTGCTGAGACAGCTCAGCCCCAAGAGAAGGGGTTTTACCAGGAGAACTAACCCAGACACTGGGACAGCTCATGTCAGGGAAGAAGAGGGGGTTACCATGCGGAAGTGCTCACCACCAAGCCAAGACAAGCCAGTGGCTTACAGATCAGAAGCTGACCAGTACCAAACACCCATCCCCATCAGGTCCCTGCTCCCCTTGGCACCCTTGGATGACCTCAAGCTGCCAGGCCGATGGCTGTACATCCTCTGCTCCACAGTGCCTGCTGCCCAAGCATTTGCAGGCAGCCAGTGAACCCAGGAGGAGCTCAGTTAGCCTGGTTGCCCACACTTGGCTGTGTCAGCAAGGACTCCCTCAACCACCCAGTTTAGCAGGGGCAGAGCGGGCAGTGAAACCCAGCACTCTGCTTTAGTAGCCTCTCCTGCCCCAAGTGAGATGCCTGCCCTGAAGCCCTCCAGTGGGGTGCGCCAGCCCTCAATGTTTTAGTGACTCTATCGGACTCCACATCCACTTGAGGAGGAGGGGAGCAGGAGCACCCCGTCTGGAAGGAAGTCACTTCCCTTGCCTTCCCCCACTCCATGCATCAGGGGTCTGACCTGGGTCTGAGGCTCAGCTGGGATCACTGGCTATAACGCAGAATGAGAGAGCCTGCATCCTAGTCCACACCACTCTCTGCCAAGGGGGGCTGGGAAGATACTGATACAAGGACATCTGGCCTCCATTCCCTTTAACTATTCAGCAACAGTACATCAAATACCCCAGGCCAAAAGCTATCCCTGGTGTAGCTCAGGGGGTCACAGCAGATAGGAGCCTGGCACTGCAGTCTGGCATTGGGGTGAGCATGGCCAGTTCTCAGGGGCACCCAAAGGCGCTGAGGAGACGTGTGTGGAGAATCAGGCTTAGGAAGAAGTGGCGAGACACCCCCTGACTTTGTCTTGGATAGCAGATGCCTCCCCTTAGCCTTCCCCGCAGCTGCAAGCCTTCTTCCTCCTACTAAGGCTGTCCAGCCTGGAGAAAAAACAGGCACCCAGCTGGGAGGCAGAAGAGGACCAGGGAACAGCCTTCTAGTCTCCATGATGCTCTCTAGCCCTTGCCACTGAGGGCCCCCCCTCCCTGTCCCCGCCACCATTCAGGAAGTCACATGCCCCATCCAGAGCCCTCCACGCGGGCCTACACACACAGATATTCACACTACACTGATCGGTCTGAAATGCCAGAGGACGGCCTCGTTGGCTCTGAACGAGGAGCTGCCCCACTCCCTGGGATGCACGGGGTCAATATTCGGTGGTTTCCGAGTTTGGGCTAGGTTCTACCTGCACAGGAGAAGGGGCAGGAGGACTCTGCTGGCTCCTATTATAGGGAATGGCTTTACGACCCACAACCTGAGGCTCCCCATTCTTCAACTCACCGGGGTCACCTCGACCTGAAGGGCTGACTCGGATTATCACAGTGGTGTGGAGGTGGCAGGGAAACCAGACCTTCCTCAAGGCCGTGCCTGCCCTGCCTAGACCTCGGCAGCCCCCGACCCTTTTCCTAGCTCTGCCGTTCCTGACCGACATTTCTTCGGCCTCTATTCTGTTGCATCCTGCCTGGATGCTACCAGCCCCCACAACCCAGAATTGCTGCGTTTCGATGGTGCTTGCCGACAAATGGCCTGTGGGGGGGAAGCACTGAGAACACCAGTCCCTGGGCAGATGGCCAACTGGGGTGGGCAGGGGAAGCAGAACGTCCTGGGATCGCCCTGTGAGCCTCTGGGATGAGTTGGGGTGCTGGCTAGGGGACACCCAGGTGGCTGGGAAGCAGGGAGGCGCAGAGCTGAGAATGCCTGGGTTCTATTCCCAGCTCTGTTATTTCCTCCCTAAAGGCCCTAAAACGAGAATCACCCCCTTACCCGGGGCTTCGTCCCCTCCATAGCACCACGTGCCAATGCAGGGCAGATCCTGTTGGCTGCAGTGCCCTGCGCTGCCCTCCCCCTGGGGTGGTACCATGGCACCTGCCCCCCCTTACCTGGATGGGCGCTGTGCTGAAGTGGATTTTGCGGTTGGGCGCCGGCTCCTCCTCCTCTGAGAGTCCCGGGATCTCCAAGCAGCTCGACTCCGGCTCATACAGGCCATCGGCTTCCTCGTCCTCATCCAGCCCGCTCCCACCCGAGTCCTCCCCCAGCCCGCTGTAGGCACTAATGTCCACCAAGTCAGCCTCCGAGAAGTCCTCCTTCTTGGACTCGTCGCCCAGGTCAGCCTCCTCTTGCCCCTCGGCCTTGCCCACCTCCTCGGCAAAAGCAGCCACCTCCGGGGCCTCCAAATGTTTCTCTGCAGCCAGGCTGCCATTTTCCAAGGCTGCGTGCACCATCACCTCAGCCTGGATCACCTCTACCCTGAGGTCGGGCCCTGGTGTCTGCCCATCGGCACTCTTGATTTTGTCCTGCTCAAAAGCCACCTCCTCCGCCCGCTCGACCACCTCGGCCTCCTGTTCTGAGTCCCCGCTCTCCTCCACCTCCACCGGCTTGATCTTCCTCACCTCCTGGACACTCTGGGAACGTGGACCTGCCCCGTCCTTGTCACCCACCCGGGGTGCACCCTGGACCCCTGCAGCTGGCTTGGCTTGCGCCTTCTCACTCTCGAGCTGCCTGACTCTTGCCTGCAGTGAAGGCCCATCGCCAACCCTGGGGTCTGCCTTGCCCGCTTCCTGGCTCTGGAGAAAGACCCGGGACCTCTTGCTGACAATTTTGGAGTTGAGGGGCCCAACTTTGCCAGGCGTTTTGTGCAGGTTGTTCCTCAGGTCGGCCTTCTCGAAAACAGCGCTAAGCTGGCTCACAGTGGGCGACACGGCCTCCGTGTCCAGCTTGTCCAGGGACTCAGTGCTACCATTGAACCTCACCACCACATCCAGCTTCCTGTCCTGGAAGCCAGCCCTCTCCTTCCTCAGCAGGAGTTTGTTGGTGGTCTCCTTCTCCTGGAGGCTCCTCTCAAAGATCTTCCGGGTCTCCTGGAGTTTGGAGAATGGCTTGTCAGGCTTGGAGTCGAAGCGGCTCACCCTCTCCGACACGCTGGTCCCCAGCTTCAGCAGTGCACTGTGGTCTACATTCTCGTTTAGGCTGCTGGCCCGGGGCAAGGACAGCCTGACGGGCTTCTCCTTCACCTTGGCCAGGTCGCAAGCCCCTTCACTCACCGGAGTGGTCCCCATCTGCAGGAACATGTTCTTGATCCGGTGGACGTTGGAGCCATACTTCTTGTTCCTGGCCTTCTTGGCTTCCTCGCTCTCGGCGCCAAGGGCATCCTCCGTGGCTTTGAGGCCCTGTATTCCAGCTTCGTAGGCGTTCCTGTGAGGCGAGGAGCTTCTCAGGCTGCTGCTGTTGCTGCTGCTGCTGGGGCTGGAGGAGTGGGGCTCAGTCTTCATCATGGTTCACCGAGGAGGCTTCGCCTGTCGCCTACACCACATAGCCTCGCTCTGCCTCTTCTGTCTGTCTGGCTCTTTCTCTCTCTATCTCCTGCTGCAGTGGACTCACATCACCAGAACCCCTCGGCTGTAGGCAGGGGCTAGGCTGTGCTGTCTGTCTACAATACAGCAGCTCTCATTGTGAAAGGGAAATGCGGGTGGGGGGGAGAGGGGATGGGAGAAGGCAAAACTGGTCCACCGCTCAGCTGCCAGAGGCTGGGACCAGACTGCGGGATCTCCTAAGGGGGTGGCTCAGTTCTGGCCATGTCCGGCCAGGTGTGGAGATCCCTTGCCCCTCCTGTCTCTCTATCCTTCTCTTCTTCCTCCTCCTTTCTGTCTCTTTCTGCGCCTGAATGGCTGGTGATGGAGACCGAATGCTCTAACCCTTCTGCAATCTGCACAGCCTACCGCCCTGGCGTGGATTCCTCTGGGTCTTAGAGAAACCAAATCCTCTTTCCTCTCTACTTCCTCCCCCTTCTTTGGCAAGTGAGAAAGGAAATTCAGTTGCAAGGCGACACCCTTCCCTCTCCCCCCCCAAAAAGACTAGTCCACTGAACTAACTGACCACAAGCCCAGCCAGGAGGGGGCTGCCCCCCCATGAACTATTTAAAAAATTGACAAACAATGTAACCCAACCCCCTCGAGCTTCCTGGCTTTGGCAAAGGGTTAGGCTCTTCCTGCCTCAGTGGGTCAAGGCCTTGGGTTCTTCCCCCTGCCCCTGCCAGCTCCTAATGCCCTTTCCCCAACTTTGGGCCAAAGGGCTCGGTCTGTCTGTGGCTGGAGGCACGTGTCTGGGTGAGTGAGCAGGGCATTCTTCCTTCTCCCATGACCCAGTGACCTGTGACCAGAGCCGTCCCTCGGGCAGGGGTGAATTGGGGTGACTGCCCCAGACCTTGCTCTTTGGGGGGCCCTGCGGACAGTGCCGTACAGGCCCTGTGGACAGCGCCATTGACACGTGCCGAGGGTGCCACCATTCTGCACGGATGCCACACACCACCGGCTCTGCGCTCCAGCCACTCGCCACCCTGCCCTCCCCCCCACACAGGCCGATATGCCTCAGGCCCTGCACACTCCTAGGGTCGGCTCTGCCTGCAACATTGAGTCAGAAGGGAGTCTGGGCCGGACCTTTCTTGCCCAAGCTGCTTTCTTGCAACACAATCAGGCTGGGCAGCCGGAAGTCAGCCCCTGAGACACAGATTCATAGAGTCGGAAGGGACCTCGGTGGGCCACCTAGTCCAACCCCCTGCCCCTGGCAGGCAAGAAAAGAGCTGCCAACCCTGGGGTCATGTGATCCCAGCCAGGTGCCTGTCCAGTCTCCTCTTGAAGACCCCCAACAATGGGGCCAGCACCACCTCCCTTAGGAGCCCATTCCAGATTCTGGCAACCTTGACTGTGACATGCCCTGCCTCTGAGGGGCTGGTTCTCAGTGGGGCAAACTGCACTGAAACCAGCAGGAGCTGCACAGCCTTGGTTCCCTTGGCAAATGAGAGAGCAGGGGGGCAGCTGGCTGGAAGGAACCTGCTTGGCCGAGGTGCTGACAGAGCGGTGGCTCGGCCCCCTGGGGCCCAGAGGTGCCTGAGTGTGAAGAACCTGGTCTATGATTTCAGCAGCTGCTCAGACACCTGGTGACTGTCCTCTCCCTCCCCGCCAACAGAGGCAATGACACCTTGCTGTCAGTGTGTGTTGTTAACTCCTGATTTGCATGCTGCACCTCCTTCTTCGGCTGGGGGCAGGGCTGTAAAGCTGTAGGGCTTGGCCACAGAGCACATCCAATCCTCCTCCTTGCCATGCCCTGCTACCCACCTCGCCACCCCGTCTCCCTTAGAGCACAGGTCTGGGAGCAAGGAGCCCTGTGTTCAGGTACCAGCATGAGGAATCCAGCACCCACTAGTGCCTGCCTACTTCAGGGGTTCCACTTGAGCCCCTCCCCCCCCCCCCCTTCCCCCCCCCCCGGGCCCGGGGGAGCGGGGGGGGAGGGGAAGGCCAGCTGCACTGGCCTCACCCCCCTTGTCCCTTGTGTCCCCACCATCATGGTGGCACTCCATCACTGCCAGCTCCTGTTTGAATGCTTGTTTGCACTCTGGGGGTCCCCTTGCGCCCCCCCCCCCCCCCCCATTTCACTCCTCTCTTGGGAAAACCTGAGCTTTGGGGACATGTATGAGGGGTCCTAGCTAACCCCAGGTCTGCTCCTGCCCCAGAGGCTGCAGGCACAAGCAGCCAGTGGGCACCAGGACCCTGCAGATGCCACACGACAAAAGCTCCCCCTCTGCTACGTTGCTTCCTGCATCTTCTGCCTTTTTGTGTGTGAACCAGCACAGTTCCCTCTTCTCCCCCGCAGCCCGCCCTGCCCCAGCCTGAGCCCAACAGCTGCTGCAGAGCCAGCTGGGGAGGGCTAGCAGCTAGCAGGGAGTGCAGCTGAGGGGCTTGGGTCCCAGCGGCCGCAGGATGCTGCCCTATGCCAGCCTGGGATTCCTGTACCAGTGAGCAGACTGTCACTTCTCACCTGACTCATCAAGCCTCAGCATTAACCCTTGCCAGGGCACAACCAGAGGCAGAGGCACACGGTGAAATCCCACAGGGAGCCCATCACCGCATGTCAGGGATTCCCAGTTGATTAATCCTTTGCAGCCCCTAAAGGCTGTGATCATCATGCTCACAGTCCCAGTGTGCAAGGCTCTGTACACGTTGCATGAGGGGGAACCCAAAGAGCTGACAATCTTGATAGAGCAAGAGAAAATGGAGGTCCAGAGATTTGGCAGAGTGGTTATGACAGGGGCTGGCTGAGCTGGGAGCAGGACCCACATTTCCCTATGCTGGGGGTCCTGAGCCCCAAGTAAGAAAGAGGGAGCAGAGAGGGGAAGCAAGAGGGCAAAGCAGTGACAGAGGTCTCCCAAAGACTTATTGAGGGCCCAAAGTACAGGGCTTTCCTGTCAGGTCACAGGCACATGACACTTTCTCATGGGAACCCCCGTTATGTTATTCTTGCTCGTTATTTGCATTGTGGTACAGTCTGAAAAGCAGGGCCTCCTCATGCCTTGCGCTGCATCTGCACACACTCTGAAGCCATCCCTGCCCCAAAGAGTTTACAGTCTAAAAAGCCAAGGAAGGGGGCAGGGGCGTATTGTCTCCATTTTCGATGTGGGAAACAGGGGCCCGGAGATCAAGGAACTTGGCTAAGGTCACATGAGGAGTCAGTGGCAAAGGTGGAAACAGAAACCTAATCTCTGAAGAGCCAAGGCAGTGCCTTAGCCAGCACCCAGTCTTTGCTAACTCTTTGCTCACCTGTTCCCTGGTTTATACAGGGCTTTTTCCTGCAGATTCAAACAATTAACAATCGTTTGGCCCAAGTGACTGGAAAGTGGCTTTTCCGTATTGTCAAAATTAGAAACATGCTCTTAGCCAGGGGGGACTGGATTTCCAAGCCAAATTTTATCACTCATTAAAATCCTCAAAGGATCACAAAGCATTTCACCAATGGGTTTAGATGAAACTATGCCCCAGGATTGTTGTAACCCGCTATTTTAATACAGCTACCTCTGGGGTGGAACGCAGCGGTCACTAGACCCTGTGTGCCTTGCCAGGCTGAAAATCCAGAGGGAGAATTTTAGAGACAAGAGAATACAGTTTTCTAGGACATTGGGGTGAACACCCTGGCTGTCATCCAACTGCAGTGGAATTCATTAACAAGCCCAAAGCAGGCAGGCCCACCTCTCATGTGAGACAGGGTCCCTCCAGCAGCACAGGGCCAGGCTAGGGGACTGAATCAGCACTGAGTCAGAAGGAAATGCATTGAATCACTATTAGCACATCCTGCAGGGCTCTTTGTAGGTCTCATTCAAGTACTGACCTGGATTTGCTCTGGAGGTCACTGCCTGAGCCAGGATGGCTGGGAGGAAAGGATAGTGTTAGGTGATCTCCTCTGAGCTGTCCTGGAAGGTATATTTCTAGTCTTTCTACATCTCTCCCCAGGCACCAGCATCCTGATCTAGCCTGTTCTGTCCATCTAACACTAAGCCCCAGTATTTCCCCCATCCCAACAGCCCAGATGTTGCCTGTACTGTCCTGCCCATACACCCCAACCCTGACCTATGCTACCCCCACCCTGGGCTCCATCCCCTGTGCTGAGACTCACCATGACCTGTAGAAAGCACTCATCTGTCCTTACCAGCACCTTCATCATTCTGACCTGCCACCTAGTACATGCCCTGCCCAAACAGGTGCCATCAATCACCCATAGCTGAATCATATGGACCACCCTGATTTTGTCAGGCAAACCCCCTGGGGGATGGGAGACTTTCATCTGTAATGAGGAAATAATGGCTCTGCTCAGCAGGCCTGGAACATATTTAGCACCAGTCACAACTGGTCATTGAGGTCCCATCCTTTCATGCCCTTCCCTGCAGGGGAAGCCATGCACGGGTCAATGCAGCAGCCTGCTACCACGCTGTTTATTTGTCAAGACTGCACTGGTATTTCCACTAAGATGAGAATGGGAGAGGAACTGCCAGATAGACCCGCCACATTGCTTGCAGAACACACTGTTCAGACTCATCTCCTCAAGCCATCTGCGCTGGGAGGAACTGGAAAGAAAAAGACTCTCTACAGTTTTCTGCACTGGGGCAAGCACAGACCTGATGGGGGTCATTCTGCAGCTGCTCCATAAGAAGGGGCAAGAGCCAGTTGCAGACACTTATGGAAAGTGAACTTGGGAGGGATATAGACCAGTGCAAAGCCTGACCAACAAGGGACACGGCAGGACTTGGGACTGTGGGGTTGATATGAGTATTGATCTGCACCCCAGGCTTTAAGGAGCTAGTGATACCAAATCAGTGACATACACCAATGCCAGTCTGCCAGGTGCTGCTGCAGGGCATGAGACAGACAGGACAGGAGAGAGAAAATCTAATATCTCTTGCAGCCAAATGGAGCATGGTGTCATGTGAACCACAGCTGTGCCCATCTCCCTGCTCTCCCTGTTGAAACAGCATCAGCCCAGGCTGAACTCATTTCCTGGGCCAAGGTATCAGGTCAGGACTATGCAAGCCCTACAGTGGAGAGAGGGCAAGGGAGATGGCATCTTGGTTTCCTCGTTTCAGGCTGTCTGCAGACTCAGGCAGGAGGCACCACTCAGTGCATTTTGCAGCCAGGAGGGACAGCTGGGGTTCAGAAGAACCTGAATGTGTTGTGCAGGCTACAGAGATCCACAATGCAGCCAGATTCAGCCTGCAAAGTAGGCACTTGCTTTCCCTCTGATGCCTGTAGGCATTGATCAGAGACACACCCAGGTGTCATGGTGCAGAGGAACAGAAGAGATGAAAGGGACAAGTAAAACAGATGAGTCAGGCAGGCAGACACACCATGCTCTCAGAGGGGCTGAAATGGAACCCAGGAGTCCACATTTGCAGTCACCAGCTCAAACAACTCTCCACTTCCTGTCACAT